AACTCGACAATGTCAACTTTGTAAATTCGGTCTTGTGGCAACGTGGAGCGTGGGGACACCTTGGGATCTACATGCCCCGTTTCCTGGTAGGCGCAATCTTGAATCATTGGCACACGTCAAGGGGCATTTCCCGTTCACCGAAGCGATTTCAATACATTTTGCTTCCGAGAAGCATTCATATTGGAATGGATCGCAACAAATCCCGATGCGGAACAGGCTGGAGTTGAACTACACATTCTGAGCAAAGCAAGAAGCTATCTGAGCATCCCGAGATCTATTCTGTCAAGACAAGTCGATTTCGAAAAGCCAGATGTTCCAGAGACTTGGCGCCCGACAGAGGACCCTTATCGACCTTTGCAGCTCGCTTCAAGCAGTCTCTTCTTTTTCTCTTGCTCCATTAGGCTCCTTGTACCAAATGAGCCAGGCACGCCAATCCCGTGCCAGACGGAGGGATCCAGAGGCGGCAATGGTGTACCGATACGTCTTCCCATCTGTCTTGCGTTTGGAACTGAGTAGGAATCTCGTTCGCTCTGTACGGTTTTCTGCAGTGTTCTCCACATAACATGGGGAAGAGGTAAAGAAAGAATGGGCGATAACCAGCGTCGGCAGGCAAGACAACAGATGGGAGCCTACCAGATTCGAGGAAACAATTTGATTCCGGCTTTTAGAGCACCAGCAAAAGAGCTGGTTCCAGCACTTTCTCAGCAGGAGGAGGAGCATGGGTGACTAACTGGCGGCGCTCCCTACGGAGCTCTCAAGAGAGACCGGCTGCACTCTGCAAAGCAGACCAAGATAACAACGTTGCTACCCCAAGCCCTATGCCCCTGGTGTTTCTCTGACGCTATTGCAGATTCATCTTAGTCTGTATGCTCGAGGAAACAGGAGACTACGATTAGCACAGCATCCTGATCGGACCTCGATCATCGACAGAAAGTTAGCATCGGCAGAACGTCAAGGGCATGTGAAGAAGTTGTGGATCGATTAAAAGATGAAGGAACATCGTCTAGACCGGCCACTGCGGCATCCGAGGCCACCAATAACGCTCCATCAAAGACGATGTTTGGGATGTCTCCTTTTCCAAGGGGGCACACTGAGACCTTTGAGTTTGGAGACTTTAGCTGGGCCGCCGAGAATATCGTGAGCGAGCTATGCCAACAACGTTCAGTCGCCAGCAACGTCGCATCGGCTACGTTTCCGCCCACTTAGACCCCGTCCCGTCCCACGTTCGCTCCGTCCCGTCTCCACAGGTACGAAGAATGACAGGTGCAGTACAAGTCTTCTACAGAGACCTTCGGACTTGATCCTGAGCAGTGGGAGATATACAAATGAATGGTTGATGGTGTACGCACCGAGGCAGTTTGGCCAAATCCGCTATCTCTGTAGTCTTCCTCTCAGTCCCCTTGAGTACTCCCAGCCTCGGGAGCTTGCCATGCAGATACGCAGCTGGGGCTGCACGAAATATTCCTTTGCCCTTTTCCCGACAAAGGGCCTCCAAAATAACCACCGGCCTTGACAATATGACAGCTCATCCTTCAGAAACTTCCAACCCCTGCCTTCGCATGTAGAGGATGATCACTTGTTCCATGGTAGACGAAGCCCGCTATTATCGCCTCATGCTTTGATCAAGGTCCACGACTCAGCCAACGTCAAGATTGACATCTCATCGATGTGGACATATGCCTTTGACCATGTCACTCAATCGTACTTTACTGGTCGGCTCTGTCTTCGATGAGCCATGCCTGCGTTGATCAACCTGTCTAGTCTACCCCGGAGCGGCGGGAAGGCAAACAAGCACGACAGGGAGTGAGATGTTCGGCGCATACGGGATACGGATCGCCACAAATCGACATGGTTTACGGCGTAATCTCCAACAACGAGCTGCAATCGTTCTTATGACTGCAGTTGTGCCTGATAGAACCACCATCCTCATTGCACAACACGCTTCCTGCTCCCAACCGCCAAGGAGGGCCAGTGAGTGTTGCGGCAAGCTGCAGAAATACGCTCAAGGCGCATCTCTCCAGCCAAGCTCGGCTCAAACATCCCCGCGAATTCAAATTCTGTCAGATCTTCCATAGCACCATGCGAGAGAGACACGTTTGCCATGAGCAGAATATTTTACAACACCTCACCCCCCGTGCCCCAAGTCTTGATCATCGCGGTCGTGTAGTCATCAGCTTGGGTCATCGATTGTACTAGTACTCCGTACGTAGTACCGATATCCGTCATGTAATATCGAGAAGTCTGAGGCACAAAGGAAATCCAATTACACTCACGGCATGCAAGCATCCATAATGCAGACAAACACACACTTGCCAAACATGTCACATCAGCTTCCCTCCGCTTGAGTCTTGACTGCTCCGGCCGCGGACCTGCTCAGTACCGTAGAAGCGTTCTACCTGCTCCCTTTATGGCCTCCTCGTCTCTTGTATTCGCTGAAGGGAACTTTCAACTATCCAAGGCAGGCTTTTAGTTCGTTAACACGCAGGCCTCTCCGCTGGTTGAGCCGAATTCGTCCGCTCATACCCTCGCGGATTCCAGCCTGCATTCGCCCAGTAATCGGCCGAGAGAAAGAGGAGAAAGAGAAGCAGGAGGAGAGACAGAGGCGGAGAGCAAAAGCAGACCACTCGCTCGTTCGCTACTCTGCAGCCCACCTGCCGCCTGCGTTGTGCACCACAGATTCGCCCTTGTCGCGGCTTATGCAGGTGTCGTTTGAGCATTTGAGTGGCTGAACCGGCTCGTCAATCGCCATGCCACGCCTCTTTTTTTTTTTTTTTTTTCTTTCTCATTACTCGCGAGCCCGCGGAGTTGTAGTTTACTTGCAGGTACGGAGGAGGTGGTGGCCACAGAAAGACGCATAATAAAACTCGTTTAATTGGCTTCCCCTAGGCCAGGTCTCCATTCCCACGAAGGCGATGGCGATCTGCCATGACAGCGGATCACGATCATTGGACTGGCTCGCAGAACCGAAGAAGAAGGAAGAAGGTTTCGAAAGAAAAGAAAAAAAAAAGGTCTTCATGCTACGTAGTGTGACAGATCTAGATTCCGGAGCAGAAGCTACGCCGGTCAATAATTACCACTTAACCTGCGGGTAGTGGTCAACGTCCGATTTAGACGGCAGACGACGCAACCTGAACAGTGGTATTTTGGAGACGGAATGAACCACCATCTATGCATCTAGCAGATGGGCCGGGGGTGAAACTCGACTGCATAATAGCAGCCCAAGTGTGATCTGCGGGTGGGATGGTTATTGATGGTCCGATGTCGTTGGAGATCTTACTCCAAAGGCTAAGGCAATGAATGCTCCGTACTCCGTACTCCGTACCGCGATAAAATAAAGCACATCACGGGAAGCGAAGTCTGTGGGCAAAATGTTCATCAGACTTGCAGTTGCAGCCACCTTAACGGACCAGGGCAAAGGCAACTAAAACTTCCCGGGTCCACCTGTCTCTACCTTTATGCGACGTTGCCAGGAACCATCGGGACAATCCCGCGCCAGCAGCATCATGTCGTATCATTGACGGCCACGGACACGACACCGAAGAGTACGGGGTGAGCGATGGAGACTTTGTGGGTGATGGTGGTGCAGAATTTTTTCTTTTCTCCTTCTCTGCTTCGCGTTCTGGCTCGGCTCCCTGCCTTCAGACTCTGCGGCTTTTTTTATTGGGGGGGGGGGTTGGGTTCTTTCTCTTTCTTTCCTCTTGCTGCTGCACCCACGTCTGGGTAAATTGCAAACTGTGCCAGTCAAACTGCCTCGAGACCAACGACGCGGGCTATGCACACCAAGCAAGCAAGCGAGCTGAGCTGAGCACCAACACATCGCTGCTGCAAGGTAAAGGTCTGAAGACGGAAAATCGATAAAGGTTGGTGGTGGTTACTACACAAGACAGGGCCAGATTCATCTCGTCTGCGTCTCGTTTGGGGGACTGCGCCGCGGCCAACAAGACAAACTGCCGCTGCATCGATCGGTCAGACGCCTTTTCGGCCTATTGATTTGCGAATTGGGACGGTGATGGCGGTGTCGAGTGAGAGCCAAATAAGTTGATCACCAGTCTATCGTCTGCGTGTCTAAACTCTTTTTTTCCTGCTGTTTGGTCAGCTCGATGCCCCCTCCACCGTGTCGCGGGGGAGATAGATGGTCGTATTCCGGTCTCTATGGACAAATGAGGTTTCCGGAATTGAGATTCCGGAACGAAGCCAAAGGCTGGATGACAGATCTGAGGTCTGGATTGGGTCGTCGCAAAAACACCATTGCGAAAAACACCATCGCGTATTGTACTAGCGTTGAGGGAATTCGAATTGGGGGATTCCATAGGCGTGTCCGACTCTTCGTATTTTCGGTATCCTCGGTTGCCTCCACGGGATCTACGAGTCCGAAGAGTCGATGAATCAACATACGTATCTAGTGTGCTAGTGTTTTCCCTATTGAGATGGATGAGAGGACCTATACCTCTCCCAGCCAAGGAGACAATTTCTCATGATCCCTCGCGTCGTCGTTGTGCGACATGATAACTTATTCCATGTTTAGCCTCTTTCTCCGTCTCCCGGTCCCTCTGCCTGCTCGTATCCCGGCACCAGCGTTCCACGAGGTCTTGGAAGCTCTTTGGATCGAGTCACCCGCAGCGGGAAGCCGCTTGTAAACCGTACCCGTCCACGGATTTGCCTGCATCTATACTTACTTTGCGTCGATTGTTTGGCCTGCTGATTGAGGTGTTTGATGAAAAGCGTCGCCTTCCCTTTTGACTAATAATGTTGATTGAATAATTTCTTTGGTATGTTGTCATGGCCTGATTAGCTACTTTGACAACGCCTCTACTCCTTTTCCATGCTTGCCGAGGCCACCCACCATGGCATCGTCTTTTTTCTTCGTCTCAGCACATCCGTCCCCGTCCCTGCTGTAAGGTGCTGACCGAGCAGCCATGGTGCAATGGCCAGTCGTTAGCTTTGCCTACTATATTCATAACCCGCTGTAATCAACCGGCATGCGCGTATACTCATGCTCCTCACGTCCACATCGATGGCACCACGCCCTTGCCCTTCCGTCCGACACCCCGCGGCTGTCCGCGACCGCCGCCTCTGGGGGTCATGCCGCCGCCCATCATCTCCATGGTCTGCTCATCGGTAGGGAACTCGGTCGATCGGAAGCCTTCGCCCTCCTTGAACACGGTAGTGTACAAAGTCGAGACGGATTGCGTCAGTTCGTACAAAGCTTTGGTACGATCGCTGTCCGCGTCCGATTGAATCTCGAGGGTGCCGGCTTGCTGGTCAATCTTGCCCTGGATCTTGCCGTCAACAATGAGGAAACCTAGGATGTCTTGAACTTCGGGCTCTGAGATCTTCAGTTGCTTCGCGATCCATGACAGCTTCATTCGTGTGTACGGTGCAATCAGCTTCAGGACGCCCTTCGTCCTCATGTTGCGCGTGACTTCGTCAATGTTCTCAGCAATGAAGGGGTCGGCGAGAATGTCTTGATTCTTCTGCAGGACATTTTCGTAGGCGTGAACATCGTCACGCTGGTATGCGTCCACCAAGTCGGTCATGGCAGTGATTCGGGGGTCCTGCTTGTACGGCTTCGTCTCCTGCGAGTCAAACGGGTTGATGGTAGACTTGACAAGCATAGTCGTAAGAAGTAGGTACTTGAGCACCTGAATCCGCTGGAGCGAGCCGGCCTCATCGTAGTTGCGGAAGGATTCGAAGAAGTCCGTCTGCGCTTCGGCCCAGTTCTCCTCGCTCATGTGCATCTTGCCACCGCATTCGCGAATGATTCCCATGATTTTGGGGTGAGGCACAGCGGACCTGACCTTGAGGGCACGCTGATAAAGTCTCTTCAGCTGCTTGTTGTTCTTGGTCTCGGCGTGCATCTGGATCTCGAGGGCGTATATTTCCATAGAATATGTGCCCTTACTGGGATCGTCACTGCCGTCTTCCTTCTGACAAGCCTTGTGAAGGTCTCGAAGCTTCTTGGTGACCGTGTTGTAATCCTTGCGGTCGAGAAGGAGTTTGGCTAGCTTGATGTTCGTCTTCAGCCATAGCCTCTCGTTGTTCGTGCTCTGGAAGCTCTCGAGTGTGAGGGAGTAGAACTTTTCGACGCATGCCACGGCCTTGGGGCTGTCTGATCCCTTCTCAATGTAGTCCAGCATGTTATTGATCGACTTCTCGGAGTAGTTTCTCGTCACAGCCGACTTGACATATGTCAACAGCTCGGCATAATGCTCCGTCGCCTGCTTACGAAATCAGTATTTCCCTCCGATTCATGGCAGGACTTCCTCTAGGAAATTCAGATTGGCGGTACCTTTGCATACTGCCCCAGCTTGAACTCGAGTTTGATGGCTTGTTTCAAGCCTTTGAAACCCCATTCGCCTTTTTCCTCCTCTAACGGTGGTATGCCTAAGAATTCGGCAATAGCATCCTCGGGATCGGTGAGCTTGAGTTGCTTCGCATTGTAGTATTTGTTCTCGATGCCGACGTCTCCAGAGTCCTCATCATCGTCTTCCTCGTACTCGAAGTCGTACCTGTGCCTAGTCAGTCTCGGTCGTTCCTGCTACAAAACCTAGAGTTGAGAGGCCCGTCGGGAAAAAGCTCACTGCTCCTCGTCAGACTCCTGCATGAAGTCCTCGTCGTCAGACATCTTGACTGTGTGTAGGCGTTATGGGGTATTGGGAAAGGTGATCGCAAGGAGTGCGCTTTGGTAACTGGATTGGCAAAGAGCTACAGGGAAAATTGCGGCGGAAGAAAATGTAGGTTTGTTTGTCGTTGGAAATTGAAAGTGAAGGTAAGGCTGGTTGACAATGACCGGGACAGTTCCAGGCAGGTGCAGCTGTGAGGTGGTGGACAATGAACCTATGGAAGGCGGGGGGAGCTTATCGATTGGCGGACCCACCAACGGCCTCTGATAGCGCACTGACCACCTGACTGGAGGCGACTTTTGTTCCCATGGCATTTTTTGACTCGAACCCAGTTGCCAGCCTTTTGACTTTCATCTGCCTAGTTTCAACATCCATCTCAATCAACGACCTACATCTCCAACAGATCACTACGCAACCCAACGTTCGACTTGGCCCATTCTCTCATCACTGTCGACGAATATCTTAGTGTACTCTGCTAAGAATACGGCAAGATGGGTGGCGATCTCAACTTGAAGAAGAGTTTCCACCCTTCCCTCATCAAGAACCAGGCCAAGGTCTGGGAAGAGGAACGCAAAGCCCTCGATGAGCGCAAGAAGACACAACAGCGCATCAACGAGCTCAAGGAGGAGCGCGAGCGCGAAGAACTCCAGAAGAAGCTCGAGGCTGCAGGGCACACCAAACGAGTTGACCGCGTCGAATTTCTCTATAGCGGACCTACCGATGGACAGACCGGCACGACCGAGGAGCGCGAGAGCTACCTCTTGGGCAAGCGCCGCATCGACAACTTGCTCAAAGGAACGGAACACAAGAACTTGGAGAAGCAAGCTGGGCAGGAGAGTTTCATGGCCCTTCAGACGGCCAACACAGCACGCGACACAGCAGCCAAAGTTCGAGAAGACCCCCTGCTAGCGATTAAGCGACAGGAGCAGGCCGCCTACGAAGCCATGATGAATGATCCCATCAAGCGTCGGCAATTACTTGCATCCATGGGTATGGCAGACGATAAGTCAAAGTCGAAAGGAAAGGAGGAGCGGCACAAGAGAAGGCATCACAGGCATCGGAACGACGACGATGATCGGGAAAGGCACCGCAAGAGGCGGCGATCTTACTCAAGGTCACGAAGCCCGCGCCGCCGGAGAGACGACCCTGACGAGGCAGAGCGCTCTGAGAGGCGGCGTCGACGCAGCGATTCAGACGATAGGCACCACCAGCGCAGACGTACTTCTAGATCTCGATCCCCTCGAAGACCCGACTCTGGCGAGAAGGACGATTACGACAGACGCGATCGACGCGACAGACGTGACGACCGCGAACGGCGGCGCCGAGACTCAGGTTCCGAGGACGAACGACCCGTCAGGCCACGGGAGAGATCGCCCCGAAGTTACGACAGGCGCGGCGACCGGGAAGGAGAAGCTTCAGTCCTCCGGGGCCGCCGGAACAACAACAATTATCGGCAAGGGCCTGACAGACGACCTGTTCCCCGTGCGAATGGATCCAGTAGTGGCAAAGAGGTCGAAGACAAGGGCGCTGAGGAGGAAAGAGCTCGCAAGTTGGCGGCGATGCAGACAGCCGCTTCGGACCTCGACACGGACCGCGAGCGCCGTCTGGCTGCGCTTGAAGAGCGGGAGAATGCCGCGCGACAAGCTGACGACCAGGCGAGAGAACGATCATCCAAGTTTGGAGACAGGCAATTTGTGAATGGTCTGCACCGGAAGGCCGGCAACATGAGCCTCGGGGAAAGAATGGGCCGCAGTAGGCAGGGTCTGCAGAAAGACGATGACTGAGGGGTGAATGCGAAAGGACCGGCGAGACCTGGCCGAGCTAAATTATCCACCACGCAAACTACCGGCTTGCGGGGCAGACGACCAGAAGAGGAGGTCGAGCGTTCGCGTGGCAGAGGTCAAGCGCCAAAGAGCGGGCGCCGTGCGAGCCGAGAGAACGGAGATGGGTCGCAGTAGCCAGCGATCGCCTATGCATGGTCGGGTCCGGCGGGAACGAAGTCGGGATGGGATGGGACGCTGCCGGAAGACGGAAGGGAGGGACGACGTGCTTAAGCGTGTCCATGGATTCGGCGCAAGAATGCGTTGGAAGCCTTAGTCCCGCCGACTGCACGTCATGGATGGATTCTAGAATGCGGAGCATGTTGCAGGCTGCACATACGGTGATGGAACGCTATAATGGATACCCAAGACACGGTGATGTCGAACGTTGCCGTGTAACGAATAAGTAGAGAAATAGAACAATCATTGAACATATCACGATCAGATGGCGTGTAATCTTACACAAGACATCTAAAGAAACAGCCAGTGAGCACTGATAATGGGATATCCGGGGTAACGGTACTCGGACTCAGTGCGGGAGGCGTTGTCGGGCACAACAGGGAGGGTTGGGGGGTTGAGGATCCCAAGCTCGATGGAGCGGCGAACGGGTGCTTGGCGGAGGGGTGGAGATGCGTCACGATTCTTGGCTGTGCCTCATTGCTCCATCGCGCGAACTTGCGTTGTCAGTGAGGCTGACGATGCCAGCTGCCCTTGCCTTACTGATGGGGAAGGTCAGGAAGCGATGAGGGGTAAGTGAGGGGTGTTGATGAGATGCAGAGAGGGGCAGGAGATGATACCGGAATACCTTCAGACACCGCAGTCCATTGAGGATTCTCACAGCGCCGAATAATAATGAGAACAATTATATCGAACAGGGCCAAAAGACCAGCCCTCCCGCACAGAGCATCCACGAGCCTGGCCTTATGTCTCTAATGTGAAAGGTGTGGTGGATTCGCCTATGTCCTCGATCCGAAAACAGGCGCCGCTCTCGGGGCTTCCAGCGAGTCGAGCTCCGTCGCTTTGCGGCGGGAGTGTCGCTGGGATAAGCCTGCCACAAAGGGCGGTGCTTCCTTGGCCAGCGATGGAGTTATTCGTTTGAGTAGTGGAGAGCGTTTGTTTTGACAGAGGTGGGTATCGGATTTACTTACTTGGCTCGTTGAAGTGTGCACATGACGATGGTGTGGGATGAGTGAGGGGCGCAGCGAGTCGTACAGCCCACGACAGGTCGAGGTTGAGCGGCGGGATAAATGAGGTGAAACTGGAGGATTGCGTATTTTTGCTTCAATTTTTGGTCAGTATATTGAGACGGGGCGAGGGATACGGCCGTGATGGCTTCAGCATACACTGGAGCTGCATATTCCTATGTGAGTGAGACGGAGGTACAAGGTTCGTGTGGATAGTGGTCGGGGGATTTAACGATGAGTCGTGTCTGACTCTGGCGGTCTTGAAAGGTGCCGCAGCCGGGCGAAAGTGCGGAAGATAAGGTGGCCTACCTTAGGCTTGTAGCGCAACCGAGCTTCGGCGGAGGTTTCTGGCCTCCAGTGCCGAACATCTTCTTGTACCGAGTGGCCCTCACGATGCTTTCCTACCTTACTTGCGAGTATTTGGTGCCCCTCGCTGACCTTGTCTGCCCCGTTCAGCTGTCTTACCAAGAACGGCCTTGACGAAAGTCAAGTTGAGGGGCTCCGGGGGTTCTCAAGCGCTACCCGGCCATATTGTGGCAGGGGGCGGGGGGGGGGGGGGCAAAAGGCTAAGCTGGAAAAGCATTGGATCAATGATGCCGTTTTGGCGAGACCTCGTGGTCGGCCTCAGCTCAGCTCAGCTCACATTGGACGCGCACTGGCCCATGCCCCGAGCCTCTTCATCTCCATGGCGTCCATCGTGGTGTTTTGTGAGAGGGATATATCGTGACTTTGTTGGAGGTTGCAGATACGTTCGGGACGGAGGACCACTGGTGGCTTTCTCGAGAGTGGGATTCTCTTTTCTTTTCTCGTGCAGCTCAGTCTGATTTCCCTACCGTGACATGTCTGCAGCTCGATAGTGTGTGCAGATGCGCGCAATTGTGTGGCGGGGAAGTCTCCACTCAATCAAGTTGTTTCTTCCCAGTTCGCATCTACGGATATCTTAGCGTCTTTCGTATACTTTACAGTAGAAGGCAGCTGTAGATATCCGTACGCTGCAAACTGGACTTGCAGTCTAAGTGAATACCTAGTCTCCTGGTCGACAATGGAGCACGCGTGTCGAGCTGGACAGGCAGGTATCCGTATCTGTAGGTATGTGTGCTCAGGGCATTCTTTGGCAGAGGGCCCTCCGCAACTCGGTGGAGGCGCTCAGTCAGTGACATTCATGAGGTTCCCTATTCCGGTCCCTGTGGATTCGTCCAAGTGTACTCCGTACTGAGTGACGAGTGACGGAATACGCAATCACGCAGCCTCCCTGCGCTGGTCCTCCTTTCTGCTCTGCTCGGGCTGACGCTGAAGTGTATTCTCTCGGAAGAAGAAGAAAATGGCAATAATAGTATTTTGAATGTTTTTTCTTTCCCCCACACAGAGCAGATTGTTTCTTAGGTAACAGCTCAGCAAGGTACATATCTCCAAGTCCCACTGGCTCCTGCCCGTCCCTACCTTAAGGTATCCAGCTGGGGGGCTTCCTTCCTCAGGTCCCCAAAGGTCCATTTCCAGCCCAGCGCCAAATAGGCAGTGAGTGTTGTTTTCCTCCGTCCCCTTTCCTCCTAGGCTCACCCCGGCAAGAAGTGCCTGACCCTGTCCGCACTTGCTCTTCTCTACTCCATTGAGTGGCCCTCTGACAAAATCTCAGCCAATTGAGCAGCGCACCTTCTTCCAACCCAATTTCAATTTCCCGCTCCTGCGTCTTTTGCTCACTCCAAATTCACACTTGCACCTTTTACCTCATTCTGGTCTCCAGTGCCTGCCTCCTTCTCCCGTTTGCTTCTTTCCATCTACCTGCCCTGCCTGCCCTGCCTGCTCTTCCTCTGCCTCACATCACAGTCACAGCCATCCTCCAAGCCACTCCGCTTTGCCTGGCACTTTCCTCTCCAGCACAAAGAAGCACTGTTGCACTGCATCTACAGAAAGTGCACTGGACCTTGGACCTTCCTTGCTCTTTTTGTTCCCCACCGTTCCCTTCCATTATTCCTGCACCTGCGCCTGCACCTGGACCGC